TCGCTGCACCCAAGCTCATCCACGTATAGCTAGTGTCACAGTTTTTTGGGAACAGGAAGAAAAGATCTTTCTGCCTTTATGGGAAGGCAACCACCTGAATGCAGGCAAAGCAAGAGTTAGAAGTTGTTTTACCTTGTTTTCGCAACTTCGTCATATTCGTAGGAAGGCCTAGAGGAACGCACATAGTCCGGAGTCCATAGTATGCATGATAATTTCCAGAATCAAATCATGGACGCGGTATATTCCCAGACGTTTCGTCGGCATCGGCAGTGAGCTTTTCCATTCTTAGCACCACACTTTCTACCAATATGACCTAGTTACGAAAACAAGGTCAAACAACTTCTATAGAATGAAAGAAGACTGCGGCCATACAAAAGCCACAGCATCTTCGTCTTCATATCTTCGAAAGCAAGTGTTCGTTTATGAATATCCTGATTGAAAGACGTTTAGCTGAGCCAGATTTTTCCAATGATTAATAATCAAGTACTTAAGTTAATTGAAAAACTTTGATAGCCCTTCTTTACTTCACTCATGGTAGCTCTTTCTTCGTGCATCACAAAGCGCATACATTTAATTCTAGCTTACGCGGAAGCTACTATTTATAGAAGTGGGTCGACCTCGTTGTCACAACTTGGTCGTGTTGTCAGGGCGACAATGTAGAATGCACCTAGTCCGAAGTCGTCTGTCATAGTAGTTGGCATGATTCCCAGCATCAGACAGTGGATTTGGTACATTCTCCAACGTTTCGCCTACATCGTAGTCGGCATCATCAGTGAGTGATGCCATTCTCCGCACCAAGCTACTAACTCGTCAAAGAGACAAGTGAAGTCAATCCCTCGAAACATAACAATAAGTCTGTTTCTCCGTGTGCCATGTTTTTGATTTTTTTGAGAAAATTCATATGAATTTTTCACCATGTTTGATAGCCTCTTATTAAATTTCTTGAGTTTCAAACATATAAACTTTGCTAATTTGTGCGTTGCTCCATACTTCTTGTTGATTTACAGCCTTAGTGTTCGCCTTCTTTGTGTATCTTTGGTAATTCGTATGTTGTTAACGATCGTGCATCCTTTCTTATGATTTAATTTCTTGTCAACCCACTTCTATAAATCGAAAGGAGACTGAGACCATACCAGAGGCCATATCTGGGTCATCATAGCTACTATTTATGATTTTTAATTTGATCAATGGATTGATTTAAAATTCTGCCCTTGTAAATACATATGCTATGTTAGTATGCTGACTATAAATAGACCTAGGTCAGTACCAAAATCCATATTAAAAGTTCTTCTGCTATTATTAAGTCATTGAAGCAACTCTTTGTTTAGGAACTTTCAGGGCGAATAGAATCATGGATATTAGTCAGAAAGAATAAGAAATATCCTTAATTATTTAATAGATATATGTATTTGTAGAAAAAATTCCATACGTATTAAGATCATATCCGTCTTCAGCCTCTAGCTTTTGCGGCTCAGAGAGCATCACTGTATGGTCGAAGCTGATAAAATGGGTATTGGCTTTCTGCTTAAGCTGCAAATATCTGGAGCCATATTGCTCTCTCGACTAAGAACAATAAATGTTTTGGCTTATTAACTTTGCATCAATATTTTTTTTCCCCTGGAATTGTAGTACATCCTGACGCTAATGAACGCCCTTGGAACATCCATTGACAGAAGGGCTATTAGATTCGAGCCCTGCTTCCTGGAAATGACTACGGGCTACATTATTGCAGCTAATCGTGGACTTATCTACATCTGGCACTTTCGGGACCCTCGCCGATACCTTGGCCTTGGATATGCAGCCATCAGTACCAGATTCAAGGAGAATGTGGAGAGGTAGGCTCAACGTCTTTACAGAAAACGTTGCCCTTTTCGTATTTCTCGGCGTCAGGCACAGCCCGTGACCAGATCAGTCGAAATTTAGATTGTACATATTGAACAATTTGTTAAATGTCTGTACTGAATTGACTCTATAATAGTGTACCAGCTAGGGTGATGAATGACTGCCAAACCCGAGGATGGCGAAAAAGACCGATGTAACAATAATTTGTATAGAATCCAATAAGTTCCAGAATAGTATTAGAGTATGTAGAGGCGCAGCTTAAAAACAATTAATTGATAAGAGATGGTGATGCACAGAATTCTGTTGACACGCTGAATTTAGGAAAACAATGTCGAAGGAGAAATAGTTCTTCCTGCTCAAAAAGCTTTAGCGATTTATGCTTAAGGCACCTGATTGGTTCAAAGTTTTGCCTAGACAACAAAATTCAAGCTAACGAGTCAAGAATCTCTTCACCCAACACTTTCACTCGAAATGGAAGTAAGCTCAACAATTATGAAACAAGAGATTCCT